TTTCTTGGTGTTGTATTTACCACACTAGGAATATATCTTAAATTGTAATTTAGTGAGCTTGTGGAAGTAGGAACATTCACTACTTTCTTTCCTTATTACCATGACCTCTGTTTTAAATTAAGTTATTTGTCTAACTGCAAAGTAAATACTCAGAATAATGTATCGATAAGACTAACATGATTAAGGAGAATGATGGAAAAATAAATCAGATCTGTAATGTTAATTAGTGACCTTCTACAAATAATAGACTAGGAACATAAATGAAATGCACAAAATAAAACCAGTGAGCATGAAATGGTATATCTTTATTACAACTTTTCAGCCATAAATTGAATATCATGAATCGCTGAGAAATTTCCAGAAATACATAAAGCCATAAATGACTCTGCCCTTTGATGCATGTAGTTCTTGAATCACCTTTCATTCCGTACGGAAGTAAATGTCTTTGAAATGTCTTTCTACAAAAGCAGAAAAATACTTTGATTTTGTACATAGAGACTTAAATCTTTGATGTAGTTACTCACCAAGTAAAATGGGTTTTAGAAGCTAAACCAGCTCATCCACAGGTGAGGTCTCCTTGGCTGATTGGAAAGTGTTTAGTGATTTCCAGATGAAAGCCGCTATGCAAGAGCAAAGTAATATTGGCAGTATACATAGCCCTCCCAACTGATCTTTAGTTTTGGTCCTCTCCCCTGCAACCACTGCCGAAATGATCTGTACAGGGGGGAAAATTGATGTACCTTACCAAAAATAAAATTAAAAAGACTTAAGAAAGTGTTTGAGGGAAGAAAGCCCAAATAGTTTCCCATTCTGTTTGGTGCCATGTTCCAAAATAGCTCAGTGTGACCCCTGTTAACCCGTAAGCCCCAGTACTTTGTCCAAGCAAAGCAGAGTGACTCCAGATGAAACTGACAGGGTGTTACTGAACATATCCAATATGGGACAGATGGCCACAAGCCAAGTAGCTAAGGCTGAGACAGTGACACTGCAAGAGAAATCCAGCGGCAAAATGTCCAAACCAAGTAAATGTGCAGAGCAAAAAGGCAAAAATTTCTGTCAGTTTTATACCTTATACATAACTACGAAATATTATGAATAATTTATATTCAGGTTTGGGTGTTTCTGCATCTTGTTTTGCTCTCTGATGTACACATACTTGTGTTGCATATTCCCCTTTTATTAATCACTCCCGTGAAGTATCACACTCACTTTTTTTTTTCCCCGCCAGTGCACTGTGACCTGTGGACAAGGACTCAGATACCGTGTGGTCCTTTGCATTGATCACAGGGGGATGCATACAGGAGGCTGTAGTCCTAAAACAAAGCCACACATAAAAGAAGAATGCATTGTACCCACTCCTTGCTACAAACCCAAAGGTAATGAGGCCGAAGGATTCTCATAAATTTTTCAGAGCTCTTCCATGTTGAGCACTTTTGTTTTGTTGCTGGTAGTACTGTTTCCAGCTGCACTGAGTTGTGAATTTGTACCTTTAAGGCCTACCATTCCTATTCCAGTCTGCCTGCTAGCAACTTGGAATGAATGCTGGCCCCTTCCTCTTTCTTACAAGCTCTGGGGTTTTCACTGACTATTTGTGATCTAGCAGACTAAGCAATATAAATGTAAATTTGACCATAGTGTAAGCAAGTTTGACCTCACTGATTGTGCCTGGGCTAAATTTGCCCTGTATTTTAAAAGGAATTGTATAAATAACATTTATGGTAGATGATAAATGTAACCATAATTTTAAAGTGCCTGGTCATAATTTGGAGCTTGAAATAGGTTAGAGGCAAGCATTGTATATCTCAACATTAAGTTCCTCTTACTAGCAAGGCTGCAAAATTTGGCAGACTGTTAGACTTGAAGCATCTTATAACAAGGAGTACTCACGATTTGTATAGAAATGTTTCTTGACTTGGGCCTCAGACAGAGAGTAACACTAGGGTAAATCCCCCACATTTTGTTGAGAGGAGAAAATATTTCTGCAACTGTTTGGAGGTTCTTATGGGGTGGGAATTTTTCTTAGAAAAAGTCCTGGAGACTGGATTGGATTAGTGTGCAGTGGCCAGGTGCAGCAGACACAGGTATTTAACTGTTTCCACAAGTATATGAACATGCATGTGTTTGTGCATGCATACAGCTCTATCGATACAACGTCTGTGTCTGTATGATGACTAACTTACGGAAACTTCTGGGCTATGGCAATGCAGGTGAACTTAATTTCCCTAAACTGGAGACTTAAACCCCACCATAAGAAGAAATCAATTCCTTTTAAAAACTGAATTGCTATCCTGATACATATTAAGAGCACTTATTGTGAACCCTGTAAAATAACAGTGACCCATGAACTCATGCTGATCCAATAGGAATAGTGAAATTTGGAATTCTAATTTCTGTACTCAGTGGCTGATGATGAGTGCACTTGCCAAGATTCAAGATTCCAGTTTATCTGGACCATGAGAATTCCCTGTGTCTGCCAGCCACCAAAGTGGCGAAACCCAGACACAGGGTCTCTGGGGAGCAATGCATGTGTTTGCACTGTATTTTGCTGGCTGACATGAGCTCACTCTGTCCACCTTCCAAGATCAAAAAAGAGTCCCTATGACTCTGTTAGCATGACTCTGAGCCTCATACAGAGTTTCTGCAGGTTTGGGTTCAATCAGTCAGTTGCTTTTATGGGGCTTTATGTGTTTATAGTCTTCAGAGCACAGCTAAAGCAGGATCCTGTCTGCCTGCAACATACAGTGTAAGCAAAATGCATTAAGACACCAAAAAATCAGATGTTGCAAACCACCCACAACTGACTTCTGCCTAGGGAACCTGAGAAGGGTGCAAGACTAGCTGGGAAAGCTTTGCTTGCCTGCATCTGTCAAGAAGTCTCTTCCAATGGGACTTACCTGGGAACAAAGTAAATTGCTGGAACCCCACCCTTGCAACAGAAGGGCATCTTTACCCTGGACAAACTCTTAGGCTGCCCTGTGCAGTACATATGTGATTAAATTCTGATTGTAGGCAGTTATTTCTTTTTTCCATTTTTTCTCATGGGATGGAAAGTCCTACGCAAAGCATATACTGTTTTGTTTGGGTTTAATTTTACTCCTCATCTTGGTTCTGCAACACTTTCACAGTTCTCCCTCCGTAAGTGGTAATGTTTGAAGACCCATATACCTGAAGTCTGAATGGTGCTTTCAGAAGAGAGTTGGACCAGTTGTTATCCAGAGGCTACTTCCAATCCAAATCATCCTATTTATGTGCTGGAAGTTTGTCCTTTCCGTTTCACAAATCTAGAGTTAGAAATTTAGAGCAATGGGGTAGCAAAGTACCTCTCCTTTACTGAATGTTTTAGTCTTAGCCTACATTTTCCTTCTGGAGCTGGATTAACATAAAGCAGAAAAACAATCTTCCTAGCGGACTGAAGCAGCAAGACAAAAAATGTGGAATTCCCTCTTCATTTAAACACACTGTGCTTAGCAGAAACAGAATGCAAATAGTTCATGTAAATTACCTCATTTTAGTTTATTCAAGCACTGAGGCACTTTATCTTTCACCAATAATGGGGAAAAATAGGACATCCCTGGATTAAATAATGATTTTCAATTTTAATAGAGAAGGTGTATTCATCTAATACAACTTTCTATATCATATAGGATTTAAGTGGTTTTAGTAGAACTGTTTTATAAAAGGAGGGATCTTGCTTTAATCTCCAAAGGTAAAAATTTCTCCTTAGCTTATGTCAGGAGTGGTTTTTTCTTTTTTTCTTTTTGTTAAAGCACCCTGTACAACATCAACATTTCTAATCCTCTAACTCATTTTACAGTGCAGATGACAATTAACTACACCTCTGAAAAAGAAAAGTTATTAAAACGGTCACATAACAGGCAACGGTACACAAGAGCTTTTGCTTTTTACAAGCACTTGCATCCAAGCAAAAAAAACACAGAAGTAAGATCTGGCTTTCCAAAACCCATAAAACAAGCTGCAGAACATATAAATAGAAATATCTCCTACATATTTTGGATAACAAATGCAGTAAAATATAGATTAAACTAAGAGCTGTGCTGGCAAATATTCCTCCTTCAATGGCACTAATAAATATGTTAGAGTAAGAGCTTGGAAAGCTATGTCTAAGAGAGAGGCATAGTAACACTATTACTGGCCTTTTTTCCTCAGTTAATAACTTGCTCCAAGGAAATTTGCTTGACTAGAGTTGTAGTAGCTGTGAAATCAAGTTTTGTGTTGATGTTCCTCTAGGATACAACTGACAGATGGGAAATTTTGCGTGTGTATGCGAAAGGTTCACTGTTGTACACAACAGAGTCACAGAAAATTCCTGACTATTCTGAATGACTTTAATCTGCTCCCTTTAGCGAGTACAAATCTGTGCATTATATAAACCTGAAAGGCTTAGGTGATTTGTGAGTGGCAAATAGGTCTGGCCCTGGTTATCCTCAGTGGTCTGAGTATCACTCCCTTTTATTTGTGTTTTTTCCCCTGATCCTAGCCCAGAACATTTTGTTGAAATGCAGAGCTCATTCTCAAATTATAGTGCCAAATTTGCTCTTGCTTTATACCCCTGTAGAGCTAAAACAGCTCCACCGCCTTCAGCTCAAACACTCCACTTTACACCGCATGAAAGCGGAGCTTGGCTTGCGAAGCGCCATGGCCCTGCGCTCCCCAGAGCAGAGCAGCTCGTTATGCTGTGTGTGCATCCTGGAAGGGAAGAAAAGCAGTTCTACTGTTTTCCATCAGAAATGACAGAAAAAGTATGAAGCTCATTTTTTTAAATCCACATAGCTGATGAACTGATAAACAAAGTTGAAAAGTATAGTTGGAACATTTTATTATGGTTTCTCTGTTTTTTCTGTGGTATCACTCATCAAATCAGGGGTTTTTTTCCCAATTTTGTAATCTATCAAAAACAAGCTTAATGTGGCTTCTGAAGTTATAAAATTTAAGAGTAAACACAGAGATTTTATACATTTAACCTTTGCAGTGTCAATGGAGGCCTGTTACACTTGCAAGACTCCCTCCAAAAATTCTTTCCAAAGTGCCTACTTTTACAGCACAGTTCCATAGTCTGACAAGTGACTTAATTTGCCTTTCTGGCTGTAGAACACCATAGCCCTTCTAGCTGCAGCAGTAAACTATCTGGCTGTATAAACTGGTAAGAGTTATAGCCCAGGTGATGAAGGAGTTTTTTTCTCCTGCTCTCCTTTCTCTCTCTTTCTTCTTTGTGCTCAGCCTCCATGTGGATGAAGGCACAGGTGCATCACAGGCATTTTCCACAAGAGAGAGGAGGCTGGCACATGTAGCAGCATTACTACATGCTTCCTATTTTCACATGCTTGTGTTTGTTCCTTAGAGAAACTTCCCGTGGAAGCAAAGTTGCCATGGTATAAGCAGGCTCAAGAGCTGGAGGAAGGAGCAGTGGTGTCTGAAGAACCATCGTAAGTCTTAAAATTTTGCTTACAACATGTTCTTATGACTTGGGAGTCTAGAAGTTGCGCTGAACTAAGAGTGTCTTGAAATTGCATTTGGCTTTCATTAGAGTGTAAAGGCTAAACCCAACCCCATGGAAGTCAATGGGCTTAAGGCTATGTCACACTTAGGAATGAAGAGACAAAATTCAAGAGGGCAAATGCAGATTTAATTTGAACAAATATATACTTGTTTTATTTAAGGTCATTTGCAATAATATTTCAGTGAGAGTCTGTGTACCTACATAGTTACATGTTCTCCACTACCACTGTACCTCTGCGGCTCAGCTCCTTTATTTATTCTCACAATACGCCTTTGAAGTAAGAGGTAAAATACAGTGAGGAGCCCCCCTCATCTCCCACCAAGGAAGAGTGTAGTAGCAGTAAAAAAATGAATTAACTTTAGCAGAAAATAAACTAGAAACCTCAGCCCTGTGGTTTGTATTACCTTATCACCATTCACCTCATAATTTCAGGGATTTTCCCCTCCCTGCTTCTCTAGCTGCTTCATGGTTTTTGCCCAGCCACCCTTGCAATATGGATTTCAGCACCTTGTACACCATTAGTAGCTCTTCCTTCTGCTGCAGACCCTCTTGGATGGCAGGTTGTCCTATGTACATGCATTGACAGTCCCCTCACATTAGGGCTGCCCAAGATGATAGAAACTGTACATTTTCCTCCTAAATACATGAAATTAACTCATTATGTCCCTTAACCGTAACTTTTTGTTGGTTTTTTTTTTTCCTATTCGTTTGTCTTCTGTTTTGTGAAAAAATTACCATTGAGTTAGAAAGAGGTGGAGGGTGTAAAATAGTTACAGGCAATGCTGAAGAAAAAGATATTATAATAACAAGTTGGAAAAGAACACTTCCACTTAGGGTTGATACCTGCCTTTTTAATCTATCAATAAGAAAATCTGACTATATGAATCTGACCTGGTGTAGCCTGGTTCTTCACTCAGTGCTATTGAAAATACAGTTTAGCAGTTTCTGCATGTGCTCCATTTCATTAACAGCAGGACTGCAGAAGATGTTAGAAAAATGAAGTGGTTTAAAAAAGCCCTCAGAATTTCGTTCAAAATTGAGTTTTATTATCATTTATGGATAATTAATCTTCCTTAGCCCAATAAAATTGCAGTGAAAAGGAAGCTGCAGTAAAACTGATGTACCACATAAACCTTTAGCAATGAGGCTCAGAAATTAAAAATACTGTTATGATTATGGTTTTGATTTTTTATTCTGGAACTGTGATAAATGCATGCTATAATTGTAACATCTGTACACAGATTTAATCAGTATCCAGTTCCTTGTGGCTGAGCACATGGCATTTTTTATTGCAACTGCAGCTGTGTATTAGACTAAAACACATTGTTTGTAATGCAATATAATTGCAGTTTTGGCATGGTTAATCTGAATTGAAGTAATTTGAAACTGGACTGTTGAAATACAGCTACAGACATATGTAATAAAGCCTTCAAAATAAAAATTGTTTTAATCCAGCTGCCATATGTACACATAAATACATACATATAAACACATAGAATCATAGAATCATACAATGGGTTGGGTTGGAAGAGACCTCAAAGACCATCTA